ATGTTTCTCGGTGTTTATTAACTAAGAGTTTACTTCAATCCCTAATTTAGGAATTAAAGTATTCTTGACTGGTGCTGAACAGATGACATGCAGTCTTAATGGCTTTCGTGGATACAGGTGAGAACAAACAGGAAAAGCGTCTGTCTTGCGATCAGCAGACGGAGGATCAAGCCTCCACCACACCTTGAGCTGAATGTGCCAGATGGGTTTAGCGTTGAATAATTTAGGAATCGATAATAAAAAAAAATTAATGACCTTCGTGTAGTCAAAAAGCTTTAAGACCCATTAACCAAATAACCACGTCATAAAACGCACGATAATTACCTGTGTTATTCATGATGTTCGGAGGGATGTTGATGTGAATTTTGGTGGTGTTGGGATAACTCTTCCAGTTCGTCTTGTTAATGTCAACTTCGTGTACAGTCTCGACTTTGTCTGGCCCCCGACTCTCAGACAGGGCCGAGTTTTTCTGCGAAACCGTTTTTAAAAACGCTCTCGCGCTTGCCTTGCTTATTCTCTTGCGCATGTACGCTTGGTGTCACCGGTGTTGTTGATATTTTGGCTTTGAGATGTGGTTTGTGTGGTGCTGAGCTGATGATGATGCTGGGGAGAGGTTCCTGCCGGGTGGGTTGTCTGATCTTGATGGGGCTTCTACTGGAGGCTAAGATTCACTGTGTTGGACCTGATCAGTTGTGTGGAATCCTCACTGCTGGTACCCCTGGTGTACTGTGAAGGATCCTCACTGATGGTAGTCCTGGTATACTGCGAAGGATCCTCGCTGCTGGTAATCCTGGTGTACTGTGAAGGATCCTCACTGATGGTAGTCCTGGTATACTGCGAAGGATCCTCGCTGCTGGTAATCCTGGTGTACTGTGAAGGATCCTGACTGCTGGTAGTCCTGGTGAAGAGCGATACTGTCCTACGGGTAAATGTTGATAGCTTCCTACTGCCCCTTCTGATCGTTCTACTGAAAAGAAACAGCGTCTTCCTGGTGAATGCTGAGCGTTCCTTGCTGCTAGTGATTGTTAAGAGCTCTCTGCTGCCCCTGCTGGTGAATCCTGTTTCCTGGTGCTGGATATTGAGAGGTCCTGCTGCTGCCTTTCGTGAAGACTGGCGGTTCCCTGCTTCACCTGCTGCTGATTCTACTAACTGTTCCTAGTGGACGTTAAATGTTGACTGTTGACACTGCTGGTGATCGGGACAGTGTAGGTAAAACCGAAGAAGTAATAGGAAGGACGCTGTAAACGATGGTTTCTTTAATCTGAAACCTAGAAGGACGCTGTAGACGAGGGTTTCTTTAATCTGAAACCTGGAAGGACGCTGTAGACGAGGGTTTCTTTAATCTGAAACCTGGAAGGACGCTGTAGACGAGGGTTTCTTTAATCTGAAACCTGGAAGGACGCTGTAGACGAGGGTTTCTTTAATCTGAAACCTGGAAGGACGCTGTAGACGAGAGTTTCTTTAATCTGAAACCTGGAAGGACGCTGTAGACGAAGGTTACTTTAGACTGAGACTTGAAGGACGTAGGAAGGACGCTGTAGACGAAGGTTACTTTTGACTGAGACTTGAAGGACGTAGGAAGGACGCTGTAGACGAAGGTTACTTTAGACTGAGACTTGAAGGACGTAGGAAGGACGCTGTAGACGAAGGTTACTTTAGACTGAGACCTTGAAAGACGTAGGAAGGACGCTGTAGACGAAGGTTACTTTAGACTGAGACCTTGAAAGACGTAGGAAGACGCTGTAGACGAAGGTTACTTTAGACTGAGACCTTGAAAGACGTAGGAAGACGCTGTAGACGAAGGTTACTTTAGACTGAGACCTTGAAAGACGTAGGAAGGACGCTGTAGACGAAGGTTACTTTAGACTGAGACCTTGAAAGACGTAGGAAGACGCTGTAGACGAAGGTTACTTTAGACTGAGACCTTGAAAGACGTAGGAAGACGCTGTAGACGAAGGTTACTTTTAGACTGAGACCTTGAAAGACGTAGGAAGGACGCTGTAGACGAAGGTTACTTTTGACTGAGACTTGAAGGACGTAGGAAGGACGCTGTAGACGAAGGTTACTTTAGACTGAGACTTGAAGGACGTAGAAGGACGCTGTAGACGAAGGTTACTTAGACTGAGACTTGAAAGACGTAGGAAGGACGCTGTAGAGATAAGTTACTTTAGACTGAGACCTTGAAAGACGTAGGAAGACGCTGTAGACGAAGGTTACTTTAGACTGAGACCTTGAAAGTCTAGGAAGACGTGTAGACGAAGGTTACTTTAGACTGAGACCTTGAAAGACGTAGGAAGGACGCTGTAGACGAAGGTTACTTTAGACTGAGACCTTGAAAGACGTAGGAAGACGCTGTAGACGAAGGTTACTTTAGACTGAGACCTTGAAAGACGTAGGAAGACGCTGTAGACGAAGGTTACTTTAGACTGAGACCTTGAAAGACGTAGGAAGACGCTGTAGACGAAGGTTCATTTAGTCAGTCTTGGGTCTTCAGCGCCTCCTGCAGGAGTGGCATCAGAAAATTACTACAAGTTCAGATAAAAGATCAGGATAGATACAATAATAATCATAGTAAACAAGTAATAATATTAATATTATCACTGTTATCATTATTATTATTACTACTGCTGTTACCACTACCTCTGCTAATATTACTACTTATAACACTGTTATTACTACTACTGTAGTAATAATAACAATAATAATAATAATCAGTCTTCGGTTATTCATTCATCGAATGTAACTTAAATGCTCTCATGATATTATTATTATTATTATTATTATTATTATTATTATTATTATTATTATTATTGATGTTGTTCACAGGGAAAAGATAAATCTGTAATATGACTGAACTTGGATAATGAAAGATAATCAGGAAGGTCAGGTGACTTTCAGTCCCCGGAGATCCTTTAAGGAGAGGGAGGACATAAAAGTCCTCCCTCTTCTTCAAGGATCTCCGGGGTTAGTAACGTACGTGTGTGTGTGTGTGTGTGTGTGTGTGTGTGTGTGTGTGTGTGTGTGTGTGTGTGTGTGATGTGTGTGTGTGTGTGTGTGTGTGTGTTGTGTGTGTTGTAATAATTCACAACTAGGGCAGTATTTGGAGAGGAAAGTAAATATTGGTGTTAGAGAACCAATGTCAAGTGAGGAGTGATTAGTGTTGATTAAGATGTGGAACTAAAGAAAACTGGCTGCTGTTAACATTAAGATACCTGGCCAAGGTATGTGTACTCTGGTGAGAGTCTCTTGTTGCTCCAGTATTTGTTTACACTCAATCTTACTCTTTGTCTTGGCATTCATTCTCTCTCAAACGGGTGTGTTCACCTCTCCAGCCTCACCTCTAAGTGTTCTCAAACATGACGTGTGTTTCCCGTAGAGTTTTACAGTTGTGGCCCATTGTAAAAACTCACGACTCTGCTATAAGAATAATAATAATAATCATAACTTTATTTCTACAAGTACATGTACAAGGTATACAGGTTTAGTTGACATCAATGACATACTACTATATAGAAAGTCCCTTGTTATGCTGAGCATTTCGGGCAAATTAGGCCAATTTTGTCCCAGGATGCGACCCACACCAGTCCACTAACACCCAAGTACCCAATTTATACTGATGGGTGAACAGGGACAGCAGGTGTATTATGGAAACACGTCCCTAATGTTTTCCAGCTGTACCGGAGGAGATTCGAACTCCGGACCTTAGTGTGTGAGCTGAATGCGCTAGCGATCGAGCTACTGTATAATTTATCATGCTACCCCGCTCTGAGATGATGGAGATGTATCTACCAACCTTGAAGAAAGTTTTGTGATGGTCGGTCCATCTCCCTTTGCTATTGACATTCATTTCAGATTGCTACAGACACAAAATATACATTAATCAGAAAGCTCCGAGTGTAAAGAGTGTAAGGAGTGTGTAGAGGAAGACAAAGACACTCTCCACCTCCAGAACTCTTGACAGACAGTGCAGCACTCTTGATAAAGACACTCTCCAGTACTCTTGATAAAGACACTCCAGTACTCTTGACAAAGGCACTATCCAGCACTCTTGATAAAGACACTCTCCAGTACTCTTGATAAAGACACTCCAGTACTCTTGACAGACATTTTCCAGTACTCTTGTCTCACGATGCACCAGAGTACATTACAGTACTACCAGTCTTAGTTATGAACACTATACACTTCTCGTAACTACCATAAATATTCAGAATTTCCTGCAGTTACCCACTGCAAGTTTACCAATCTTTCATGAAGCGGTAAAACTGTATGGTTGACTTAGTATAGACAGTGATTGTTGGAGACTCGAACCTCCCTCCGCTGATTTCAGACGAACCATTAATGTAAGTAAGTTTACTTAGTCACAGGTACACATAAATACAATCATCATAACTCACAAAATCGTAATGACACGATTGCAAACAAACCATACCAGTAGACCTAGTGGCTAACGCGTCGGTCTGGAGTTTTATGACTCTTTGATCGCGGGTTCTATCCCTACCCGTGGTATGGTTTGTTTACAGTTATCATACACAGTGTAAATTTCCAAGGATACCCCGCAAAAAGTCAGACTAAGTAACTTATTTCCATGTAACCGTTTATTTACTCTTACCTGTATGTGGTAACTAATGGTTATAATTATAATCCTAATTTTTAAGATGGTTGAAGGGTAGGCCAGTGGAAGGTCTCGATCAGATGACCAAAAACTCCAGTGATAGGTCATCATATGACTATGACCTGCGCCAGGAAACACTTGTCCTGTTTCCCGATCAATCTTATCTAACCTAACCTATATGTAAATAACAAAAAGACACAATACCATGACTGGAACAATACACAAATAACCCGCACATGTGAGAGAAGCTGACCACGACGTTTCGGTCCGACTTGGACCATTTACAAAGCCACACTGTAACTTTGTAAATGGTCCAAGACGGACCGAAACATCATCATAAGCTTCTTTCTCATATGTACGGGTTATTTGTGTATATAATATGTAGTTGTAAGGAACGAATCTTAGCTCCTGGGTCCACCTCCTCATTGGTCGCTACTGGGTTCACACTCTTTCCTTCGAAAGCCTTATCGTAGCTCTTCTTAAAGCTGTGTATGGATCCTGCTTTTACCACTGCGTTAGAGAGCGTTGAATATTACACAGGATGGACATCACCGAGATGCTGCTAAGAGGAAAGTGATGCTGGTGAAGGGATTTTGATTAAAGAAAATGGAGCTACCCTTTCTCGAATCAAATTTGATTACCTCCCATTACCCAGGTGCTGGTGCTTGATGATTCCCTGAGGATTTAGCGCTTCCCCATGAATGCAGTAAGAATATGAGTAAGGTGGGAAGCAGCAGTAACATGGGTGGGGATGTGGGTATGGGTGAGGGTGTGGGCGTAGGTATGGGCGTGGGTGAGGGTGTGGGCGGATTACACCCTCTCAAGTGCTTCTCGTGAAAAAGTTTCTGACTCACACTTGTTAGCTGGGGTGTTGTAACACTCCCACCCCTGCTACACTTGTTAGCTGGGGTGTTGTAACACTCCCACCCCTGCTACACTTGTTAGCTGGGGTGTTGTAACACTCCCACCCCTGCTACACTTGTTAGCTGGGGTGTTGTAACACTCCCACCCATGCTACACTTGTTAGCTGGGGTGTTGTAACACTCCCACCCCTGCTACACTTGTTAGCTGGGGTATTGTAACGCTCCCACCCCTGCTACACTTGTTAGCTGGGGTGTTGTAACGCTCCCACCCCTGCTACACTTGTTAGCTGGGGTGTTGTAACACTCCCACTCCTGCTGCACTTGTTAGCTGGGGTGTTGTAACACTCCCACCCCGCTACACTTGTTAGCTGGGGTGATGTAACACTCCCACCCCTGCTACACTTGTTAGCTTGGGTGTTGTAACACTCCCACTCCTGCTGCACTTGTTAGCTGGGGTGCTGTAACACTCCCACCCCTGCTACACTTGTTAGCTGGGGTATTGTGACACTCCCACCCCTGCTACACTTATTAGCTGGGGTGTTGTGACACTCCCACCCCTGCTACACTTGTTAGCTGGGGTGTTGTAACACTCCCACCCCTGCTACACTTGTTAGCTGGGGTGTTGTAACACTATCACTCCTGCTGCACTTGTTAGCTGGGGTGTTGTAACACTCCCACCCCTGCTACACTTGTTAACTGGGGAGTTGTAACACTCCCACCCCTGCTACATTTGTTAGCTTGGGTGTTGTAACGCTCCCACTCCTGCTACACTTGTTAGCTGGGGTGTTGTAACACTCCCACCCCTGCTACACTTATTAGCGGGTTCAATCCCGGCCGGGGTATGGTTTGTTTGCAATCGTGTCATTACGATTTCGTGAGTCATTAGCTGGGGTGTTGTAACACTCCCACCCCTGCTACACTTGTTAGCTTGGGTTTTGTAACACTCCCACCCCTGCTACACTTGTTAGCTTGGGTGTTGTAACACTCCCACTCCTGCTACACTTGTTAGCTGGGGTGTTGTAACACTCCCACTCCTGCTACACTTGTTAGCTTGGGTGTTGTAACACTCCCACTCCTGCTACACTTGTTAGCTTGGGTGTTGTAACACCCACTCCTGCTACACTTGTTAGCTTGGGTGTTGTAACACCCACTCCTGCTACACTTGTTAGCTTGGGTGTTGTAACACTCCCACTCCTGCTACACTTGTTAGCTGGGGTGTTGTAACACTCCCACTCCTGCTACACTTGTGAGCTTGGGTGTTGTAACACCCACTCCTGCTACACTTGTGAGCTTGGGTGTTGTAACACTCCCACCCCTGCTACACTTGTTAGCTTGGGTGTTGTAATACTCCTACTCCTGCTACACTTGTTAGCTGGAGTTTTTGTAACACTCCCACCCTGCTACACTTGTTAGCTTGGGTGTTGTAACACTCCACCCCTGCTAACTTGTTAGCTGGGTGTTGTAACACCCCCCACCCCTGCTACACTTGTTAGTTGGAGTGGTTGTAACACTCCCACCCTGCTACACTTGTTAGCTTGGGTGTTGTAACACTCCCACTCCTGCTACACTTGTTAGCTTGGGTGTTGTAACACTCCCACCCCTGCTACACTTGTTAGCTTGGGTGTTGTAACACTCCCACCCCTGCTACACTTGTTAGTTGGAGTGTTGTAACACTCCCACCCCTGCTACACTTGTTAGCTTGGGTGTTGTAACACTCCCACTCCTGCTACACTTGTTAGCTTGGGTGTTGTAACACTCCCACCCCTGCTACACTTGTTAGCTTGGGTGTTGTAACACTCCCACCCCTGCTACACTTGTTAGCTTGGGTGTTGTAACACTCCCACCCCTGCTACACTTGTTAGTTGGAGTGTTGTAACACTCCCACCCCTGCTACACTTGTTAGCTTGGGTGTTGTAACACTCCCACTCCTGCTACACTTGTTAGCTTGGGTGTTGTAACACTCCCACTCCTGCTACACTTGTTAGCTGGGGTGTTGTAACACTCCCACCCCTGCTTCCTCAGATC